ATTGACCAGCAAATCGGCGCCCTCTAAACCCTAAACCCTAAATTAGGGTTTAGCGGACCTAGGGTAGCGTCTTTGTCCACTTTTTTGGACCAGCACATTGACGCGCTCTGAACGCTAAATCATGAAGTGCTGCTAACTAACTATGTATTGTAAACCCTAAATTAGGGTTTACAGGCCTAGATGGACTATTAGGAAAGTAGGCGGAAGCCTAAAGCTGCATCTTTTATGGCTGTTAGGCTGTTAGGGTTTGGGGTTTAGGTTTTGTCTAGGGTTCAGGGTTTACGCTCTAGCTAGGGTTTAGGATTTTGGATATATTGGTTCATGGTGTTATGTGCAGAGTGGGTGACATGCATGCATGTAAATAGCCTAAACCCTAAACCCTAAAGTGTAAACCCTAAACCCTACCCCTGAATCCCTGAGCTCTAAAGCGAGCAGAAGTCGCCCCTGCAGTCCGTGCGTCTGTGGCTGCCTCTAAACCCTAACCCTAAACCCTAAACCCTAAACCCTAAACCCTAAGTGCAGCCCCTGAAAGGCGCACGGACGTCCATGTCAAGTCCTAAACCCTAATTTCTAGCCGAACTCTAAACCCTAAACCCTAAACCCGACACTCGAGCTTTGGGGCCTCTCTTATCCGACGCAAACCCGAGCCTCTGCGCAAGGGTTTAGGGTTTAGGGTTTGCGGTGAAGAGCGCCTCAGGCTGCCACTGCCATTTTTTGTTTAGGGTTTAGGGTTTAGTGTACGTAGATGAATAAACAAATGAATTTCATAAATAAATATATATAACATTTTAAATAAGTAAATAAATAAAAATAATAAATAAATAAATAAATAGATAGATAGATAAAATAATCAGGAAATGCAAATATCACAAATTTGCACAAGTGCACTTGCTGGGCACGAGCAGTTCTCGTTTTTTGGAATTCTTTTCGAATTTTGCACTTCTTTTTTCGAATTTTCAATCATTCTGAAGCAAAAAGTGAATTTAAATGCGAAAATGTGAATATAATTGCAAATAAAAGAAAGAATGAAAGAGAAAAAGTGCAAAAAGCAGAAAAAAACGAGAACGGGAGCGCGGGAAACGGGGTGTACGTACACCTCGACGCAGCAACAGCGCGGGAAACGGGGTGTACGTACACCTCGACGCAGCAACAGCAACGAAGGCAAATCAGGCGCCCAAAAGCTCCATTTAAATCTTTTTAATTGATTTAAATTTGTTTGTTTTTGAATAAACTGAAGTTTAGAGAAAGTACAAATAAAAAGAAGAAAACAAAAGATTAAAATTGATCCAAAAACCGCCAGAAGTGCCGCCTGTTTCGCCCATTTATTCCCCCACTGTCAAAACACTTTATTTGTATTTGTATTTAGTTTTATAATTCTTGCGAAATATAAATATAAATATAATATAAATATAATATAAATATAAATATAATAATAATATTCTTCTCAATGTAATATAAGTATTGATGCAAATACCAAAGTCTCATTGCCTCTCTGAAGAGAAGAGTAAAATAAATGCGCTCGCTGCCCTCTAGGGTTTAGGGTTTAGGGTTTAGGGTTTAGTTCCGTTTCGTGGGGAGCCTGGTTTTGAGGACCGGCAAAAACAGATTCGGCTATCTTGACAAATGAATGTATAAGAAACCCTAAAGCCCAAACCCCAAACCCTAAACCCTAAACCCTAAACCCTCGGCGCTGAACAACAGCGGGGGGTCCCTGCCGTCTGCGGGCAGCATCCTCAGGGTTTAGGGTTTAGCGCTAGGGTTTAGGGTTTAGCGCCACGGCTTAGGGTTTGAAATTGGGGTTTGAGCACGCGCGCTGAGAAATGCGAGGGTTTAGGGTTTAGGGTTTAGGGTTTAGAGCTCGTCGTGCTCAACGGACTCCTCCTCATCTTCATCTTCTTCCTCGTCGTCCTCGAGCTCCTCTTGCTGCTGCTGCTGCTGCTGCTGCTGCTGCTGCTCGTTGCTGTTGGGGGCCGTCCTGGCCCTTGCTGCTGCTGCTGCTATTTCTGCTGCTGCTGCTGCTGCTTGCTCCTTTTCCTGCGTCTTCTTTTGCTGCTCTCGTGCTGCATTAAACCTCTCTTCTGCTTCCGTCTCAATTGCTGCAGCAAGAGCTTGCTGCTGCCCGCGCCGCTGCTGCCGCAAGCTGCTGCTCAAACCCCCCTGCTCTCCTGCTGCTGCTGCTGCTGCTGCTGCTGCTGCTGCTGCATCTCCGCCCCACAGCACTTCTATCAGCGGCACTGCCACGTTGTGGTAAAGACTGGTGTACAGCCCCTCCAGGGGCACCAGCGCAGACCTGCACCAAACCCTAAACCCTAAACCCTAAACCCTAAACCCTAAACCCTAAACCCTAAACCCTTGGGCCTGTGGTGCCAGGTGCAGCGAAGACGCGGCGGCAGGCGTTGGCCGCGAACAACCAGGGCAGGCAACTCAGCGCCAACCTCCAAACCCCAAACCCTAAACCCTAAACCCTAAACCCTAAACCCTAAACCCTAGCGCACTCCAGGTCCCAGCCGTAAACAAGAGACGGCAGCGCATAGACTGTAAAAGCTGCCCTCGGAACATGAGCTGTTATATGCTCCAAATATACTGCCCCTCGAGAGTCCTGCAGCACAAACCCTAAACCCTAAACCCTAAACCCTAAACCCTAAACCCTAAACCCTAGGTCCCGAGTGCAGCAGGTCTCCGTCATGGGCACAATGCTGGTCTCCGGAACTCCGAAGCGCCCAGCGCAGCCGCAACCCTAAACCCTAAACCCTAAACCCTAAGCGGTAGCTCTAAACCCTAAACCCTAAACCCTAAACCCTCGCGTCCTACCGACACTCCAACGAGGACCTTCCTGTGGGGCTTGAGCCGGATGGCAGACTGCACAGCGGGAGTTGAAGCGCCCAGCTGCTGCTGCTGCTGCTGCTGCTGCTGCTGCTGCTGCTGCTGCTGAAAGATCCCCGGCTGCAGCAGCAAGGGCCGCAGCGGGGCTTCTCGCGAAATGGTTAAGGAACCCTGAGAGAATAAATTTAAAATTAAAAATAAATAAATAAATAAATAAATAAATAAATTAATAAATAAATTAATTAATTAAAATAATAAACCACTTTAAATAAACTGGCGCATGCAAGAAAACGAAACTTCATTCGTTTCCGTAGCAGCAGCAGCAGCAGCAGCAGCAGCAGCAGCAGCAGTCTGAGCAATGTCGCTGCAGCAGCAGCAGCACCACCAGCAGCACCACTTGCAAAAGCATGGTCAGCAGCAGCAGCAGCAGCAGCAATAGCAGACCCATAAGCAGCAGCAGTAGCAGCCGCATCAGCAAAATCAGCAGCAGCAGCAGCAGCAGCAGCAGCAGCAGCAGCAGCAGCAGCAGCAGCAGCAGCAGACCTCAATAAGGAAAATGTGTCTATTTTGGCTGCCAGTGTTTATAACGAAATTTGCCCCTGGAGGTGCAACGCGCAGCAGCAGCATTTCGTCGACGTCGGCCAGCAGCAGCTGCGTCCGCACCGCAGACCCTGCAGCAGCAGCAGCAGCAGCAGCAGCAGCAGCAGCAGCAGCAGCAGCAGCAGCAGCAGCAGCACACAGGCGAGGGCTTGGGGCGGAGGGGCTAGGGTTTAGGGTTTGCACAGGCTCGACAAAACCAGCAAAAGCCCCACGGCACGCTAACTGCACCCGTGCGTCCAAACCCTAAACCCCAAACCCTAAACCCTAAACCCTAAACCCTAAACCCTAAACCCTACCGTAGTGTTCGTAAGAAAGGAAAGTGGGCGAATAGACCCAAAAGGCCCTCGCGAAATTCGCCTCCAGAGAAGCCCCCAGCAAATCGAGCTGCTCTTCTGCGGTGAGCTGGTCGTCCTGTAAACCCCAAACCCTAAACCCTAAACCCTAAACCCTAAACCCTAAACCCTAAACCCCAAACGCTGGCCCTGCAGTAGCTTCTGAGTGCGGACTCGGGACCCGGAAAGCGACAGAAGCGGACTGAACACAAGTGCACCTGGGTCGAGGTGCAAACCCTAAACCCTAAACCCTAGACCCTAAACCCTAAACCCTAAACCCTAAACCCTAAACCCTCGAGTCACCTCCGTGCCGACGACGCCATCTGGTCCTGCTCGTTTGGCATTTGCAAAGGCGACGACTTCCTCGACGCAGGGGAGCGCTCCTGCACAGCAAACCCCAAACCCTAAACCCTAAACCCTAAACCCTAAACCCTAAACCCTAAACCCTAATTGAGGGAGTTCGGGAGTGAGCCCCTAGAGCGCCGCAGCGCCGAGCCACCCAGCGCGCAGCCGCGCCCGCGCGCGCGGCGCGCGGGCGCGCGGGCCCAGGGCCTAGGGTTTAGGGTTTAGGGTTTAGGGTTTAGGGTTTAGGGTTTAGGGTTTGACCCCTGGCGACGTAGGCGGGCGCGCTGCCCTCGAGCGGCCAGAAAGCCAAAGAAGACTTTTTGAGTTTTTCCTCCGCCAAAAGACAATTAATTAATTTGCCATCTTTCATTTCAAATTGAGAAAGACAAAGGAGAAAAATGAGGACAACAAGCCCCACAATCGCGAGGTCTCGCCACATCTTGCTGCTGCTGCTGCTGCTGCTGCTGCTGCTGCTGCTGCTGCTGCTGCTGCGGGCGCGGGCGCGGCGCCTTCAAGGTCATTATTTCGGCTGCTGCTGCTTTGCTGCGCACTCAACCGCAGCGCCAAACCCCAGCAAGCCCCAGACGCAGCAGGGGCCCCGCTGCTGCTGCTGCTGCTGCTGCTGCTGCTGCTGCAGGGGCCCCCAAGACCCGCGGCAGCAGCTGCTGCTGCTGCTGCTGCTGCTGTGCTTCCTGCTGCTGTTGTTGTTGTCGCTGCTGCTGGATTTCACTGTTTCACTTAATTTCGAAAAACCCTTAACCCTTAACCCTAAACCCTAAACCCTAAACCCCAAACCCCCCGCAGCAGCGGGGGGCCCGCCGCTGCTGACCCGTTTCTTCCTGCGGCTCGCGCCGTCTCAGCCGAATAAATCGAATCAAAACAATTAAAACAATTAAAATAATTAAAATAATTAAAATTAAAACAAATTAATTTAATTAATTTAATTTGATTAATCCATTCTTCAAAGATGACTCCGTCAGATCCCCTTGGCTCTGAGGTGTACAGACACCCCGAATTCGCTGCAACGCCGAAACCCTAGATCCCTCTGCTGCTAAACCCTAAACCCTAAACCCTAAACCCTAAACCCTAGTTGCGCTGCTGCCTGCTGCGAGGGTTAGCTGCTGGGGTTGCTGCTCTGCTTTGGCCGTCGAGACCTGGGGAGTCTTTTCTAGGGTTCCGAGGGTTTAGGGTTTAGCAGCAAACACCCCAAACTAGGGTTTAGGGTTTAGCAGTGAACACCTCAAACTAGGGTTCCTCAAACTAGGGTCTAGGGTTTAGCAGCGAACACCTCAAACTAGGGTTTAGGGTTTAGCAGCAAGCACCTCAAACTAGGGTTTAGGGTTTAGCAGCAAACACCTCAAACTAAGGTCTAGGGTTTAGCAGCACCCCAAACTAGGGTTTAGGGTCTAGGGTTTAGCAGCAAAGACCTCAAACTAGGGTTTAGGGTTTAGGGTTTGGGAAGGTGACAAATGCAGCGTCAGCGCAGCTTTGGGAAGCGCCGTGTGGGGTTGAGGGTTTTGCCGCGCGGGGGCACGCCCCAAGCCCTAAACCCTAAACCCTAAATTAGGGTTTGGCGAGTCTAGCCACTCAACACGCAAACCCCCCCCGCCTCTTTAATCTTCTTCTCCGCCAACTTGGAGAAGAACCGCGCCCTCACAATCAGCGGCAGCTTCGGCAGCGCGCCCTTCCCCAGCACCTGCACCCGCAAACCCTAAACCCTAAACCCTAAACCCTAAACCCTAAGCACCTCGCCCTCCTGCTGCCCCGCAGCAGCAGCAGCAGCAGCAGCAGCACTGCTTCCCCGGCCGAAGCCGCCGCGCGTCGCGCTGCCTCGCGCGCAGCAGCGCCCCCCCCGGCGGCCGCGGGGGCCAAACCCTAATTTAGGGTTTAGGGTTTACCTTGAAGTACCCCGCCTGCGTGCAGTCGACCACGTAGGCCTTTTCTGCTGCTGCGCCGCTGCTGGCCCGCTCGAAGGCCTTGGGAGACAGCAGCGACCACAGCCGGTCGACGTTAATGACTGGGCAGTGCTGCTGCGCCCGCAGCAGGTGGAAGTGCCGCATTCCCACCTGCAGCAGCAGCAGCAGCAGCAGCAGCAGCAGCAGCGGCGCTGCAGCAGCAGCAGCAAGACTGCTGCAGCAGCAGCAGCGGCCGCGGAGGCCGCGCAGCCGCCCGCGCAGCCGCAGCGCCGACGCAGCACGGGCAGTGCCAGCAGCAGCAGCAGCAGCAGAGGGAGAAGCAGCAGCAGCAGCAGCGGGAGAAGCAGCAGCAGCAGCAGCAGCAGCGGGAGAAGCAGCAGCAGCAGCAGCTGTGTCGTGTAGTAGGGTGAGCGGGGGGCGCAAAGCCCCGGAACTTTCGAGGGAGCAGTTGGGCGAAACCCGCCTGCACTCCCAAACCCTAAACCCTAAACCCTAAATCAGGGTTTAGAGCCCCGCTGCTGCTGCTGGCGCTGCGCGGCTCGCCGCGCGCGCGCAGCAGCAGCAGCAGCAGGACCCGCAGCAACTAGCAAACCAACAAATAGAATTAATTATTTAATTAAATTAATTAATTAATTTAATTAATTATTTATTTATTTATTTATTTAATTATTTATTTATTTACCTTTCCGAAATAACCCGGGTGGAACTTGTCAAAGTGAATCCTCTTGTGGTGCATCCCCCCCGCCTTGCCGCGGCCGCCGGGGTGTTTGCGGTGTTTGCCCACGCGCCCGTGGCCTGCACGCAAACCCTAAACCCTAAACCCTAAACCCTAAACCCTAAACCCTAAACCCTGGGCCGCAGACCCTGGGCCTGGGGTTGGGGAGGGGGGCTTGGGGGTTAGCAGGGAAAGCGAGCCAAGTTGGGAAGCGGAGAGCTGTGCGCTAGCGGCCACAAACCCTAAACCCTAAACCCTAAACCCTAAACCCTAAACCCTCGACTTGCCCGCAGAGACGTGGCCTCTCAGCTTGCGAGTCTTCCTGAGGCGGGTCGTCATTTTCGGTTCAAACAATCTGCAAACAACGCAAACCCTAAACCCTAAACCCTAAACCCTAAACCCTGAGGAGTAAGTGGAACCCCTGTTCAAAACTTCGCCTCCTACGACGCCGCCGCTGCTGCTGCTGCTGTTGCTGCTGCTGCTGCTGCTGCTGCTACTATTGCTGCTAGCAACCAGCATAAAGGGCAGTTAGGCTAGAAACAGAGAAGCAATTTGCTGATGCTGCTGCTGCTGCTGCTGCTGCTGCTTTTGGTGCTGCAGCCCCGCTCTTCCCCGCGCTGCTGCAGCGAGCAGCAGCAGCAACAGCAGCAGCAACAGCAGCAGCAGCAGCAGTTCAATTCCTCACCACAAGCCTCAAGAAGAACCCCCGAAAATGTAAATATTTTGTCCTTGTGTTTGCTGCAGCAGCAGCAGAGCAGCAGCAGCAGCACCAGCTCAGTGGAAGCTTCTTGTGGGGTGGGGCTGCTGCTGCTGCTGCTGCTGCTGCTGCTGCTGCTGCAGCCAGTGGGACTGCTGGCGCCGCAGCTGCTGCATGCATGCACGCGGCCCCCAAAAGCCCCAAAAACTTTCAAAATTTTAATTTTATTTATTTTTTAAAATAATTCAAATTAGATAACTGAGGCAAAGACGCGGCACTGCAGCAGCAGCAGCAGCAGCAGCTGCTGCTGCTGCTGCTGCTGCTGCTGGCAGAAGGGGATATAAGCTTATACTTCCCTTTCCGCACACGGTGGCTGCTACTGCAGCAGCAAGGCTCGTGACGAAGGCTGTTGCTGCTGCTGCTGCAGCAGCAGCAGAAGCCACAGCAGCGCAACCGCAGCAGCAAACAGTCCAGCAGCAGCAGCAGCAGCAGCAGCAGCAAGGATGGCAGGAGGTATTCGTGTGCGGCCCCCTGGGGTCCGCCAGCGCCCTGGCAAGTCCCAAACCCTAAACCCTAAACCCTAAACCCTAGCTCTGAAAGGCCATGGCCCCCGACGGCTTTCCAAAACCCTAAACCCTCATGCCACTCGTTGAGGGCATTTCAAACCTCGCGCCAAGTTCGGAGCCGCGAAGAGGGTTTAGGGTTAGGGTCTAGGGTTTAGGGTTTAGGGTTTAGGGTTTAGGGTTTAGGGTTTTGGCTCAGGCTTCTTTAGGATTTGGCCGCACATAGAGTTCCAGCGAATGAGCTATCCGACGTGGCCGCCCCCCAGTGCCTCGCCCCTGCATCCTGTCCGTGAGGGTTTAGGGTTTAGGGTTTAGGGTTTAGGGTTTAGGGTTTAGGGTTTGGGGTTGGGGTTTAGCGCACAGGATTTGGCACAGGTTGTCTGCATTGAGTTCAACCTTGCGTCTGTTTCCAACTGCTGTAGGTGCGAGGGTTTGGAGTCTAGGGTTTGGAGTCTAGGGTTTAGGGTTTAGGGTTTAGGGTTTGCGTTTGCAGCTGGAGCCCTGGGGCCGGCAAGTGTTTGTCTTTCGGCCTTTCGCCGGCGATTTGGCAGCAGAGCCTTCAGGGCCTTATCCCCGCGTGCCTCCCCTGCGCGGAGTGAGGGTTTAGGGTTTAGGGTTTAGGGTTTAGGGTTTGGGGTTTAGGGTTTGGGGTTTAGGGTTTAGGGTTTGGAGGGAGGCAGCTTCGCAGTCTCGAGGCCTGGGCGAAGCTGCCTAGGGTTTAGGGCTGAGGGTTCGGAATTCGGAGGGTTTGTTTGCGGTTTGGGGTTTGCAGAATTAGGGTTTAGGGTTTAGGGTTTAGGGTTTAGGGTTTTGCGTGCAGCCCGCGCCCCCCACTGACCGGCTGTCGCCTCGGCTGTCGCGTTTGGCAGCAGCAGCAGCAGAAGCAGCAGAAGCTGCTGCTGCTGCTGCTGCTGCTGCTGGCCCTTCGGGTTTGCTGTCCCCTGAGGCGTACGCAGCAGCAGCAGCGGCGAATGCAGCAGCAGCAGCAGCAGCAACAGCAGCAGCAGCAGAAAGAGCAGAAGGGCCTCTCTTGCCAGCAGCAGCACCAGTTCTTTGTGTTGCTGATCATGGCCGCCGGCCTCTCTTGTTTTTGTCTGCTGAGGACTTGGGGGTTTTGAAGGAGCACTTGCCGCATTTCAAAACCCTAATTCAGCGTTTTAGGCAGACCGCAAAGGTGAGCCCCAGGGTTTAGGGTTTAGGGTTTAGGGTTTAGGGTTTGCGAGCTGGCGGGCCGGCTTGCGCGCAGATTCCTTCGCTCTTTTCGCAGCCTCGCAGAAGCTGCCAAAGCCCCGGGCTCAGGGTTTAGGGCTTAGGGTTTAGGGTTTAGGGTTTAGGGTTTAGGGTTTAGGGTTTGTGGCTGCAGCCTTCGAACGCGGAAGGCCTTTACCGCCTGCGGCGGCTGCTGCTGCCGCAAAAGACTTTTGGAATGCAAAGAATGAAAAAGGGAGAACACCAGTCTTACGGAATGAAGAAAGGGGTGCCTCGCGAGTGCAAAACCTAAACCCTAAACCCTAAACCCTAAACCCTAAACCCTAGGCCCGAGGCAGCGTGGTCGGGGGCGCGACCAAGCGTCAGAGCCTCCGGAGCGCAAGGCCTAAACCCTAAACCCTAAACCCTAAACCCTAGGCACACCCCAAACCCTAGGCGGTAAACCCTAGGCAAGCTTCAAACCCTTGAAGGGCCGAAACCTAATTTGCCCCGCTTAAACCCTTTGCTTCACGGCGCAGGGAGAAACGCTAGGGTTTAGGGTTTAGGGTTTAGGGTTTGGCTGCACAGCCAGTTGCATTTTTTAGCGAAGCCTTTTTGAGGTGTCTGTACACCTGAAGGTCCGCTCCTGCTGCTGCTGTCCGGAAATGGACGAGCAGATGAACAAAATAAACAAAAGACAAAAAAGATGGAAGAAAAAGGAGAAAAAGAGCTGCAGAGAAGTTCAGAAAGTTATTTAAATGAAAAGAAAGAGAGTTCCAGTCAAAGGGAAGGCCGGCCGGTGACCCTGTGCGCGAGCTGAGGTGTACGTACACCCGAACTGGTCCACTGTCGGGTCGCGCTTTAAAACGGATTTTTTGTCAAATTTGGACTTCTAAATACTCGTAAATGCTTTTAATTTATTAAAATGATGAACATTTATTCATTTTGTTTCGAATTCAAGAAGATTCCGCGGATTAATTTGCGCGTTTGCCGTCGGAGTTCGGGTGTCTGTACACCCGAACTTCCGGCGCTGCTGCTGCTGCAGCGAAACAAACGGCGGAGAAGAAGCAGAAAAGAATAAAAGTGGAATTAAATGGAAAATAAAAACAATAAAAGGCTTTTTAAATCCATTTAAATCCTTTTTAATCTTATTTTCTTTCTTTTTTTTCCACAACTGTCGGCGACGATAGCTCAGTTGGGAGAGCGTTAGACTGAAGATCTAAAGGTCCCTGGTTCGATCCCGGGTCGTCGCGCTTCTTGAAAGGTTTTATAATTCTTTATTTAACTGAAGTTTAATTATTTATTTATTTGAGGTTTAATTAATTAATTAATTAATTAATTAATTAATTAATTAATTAATTAATTCAACTTTGGGGATTAATTTATTAATTGAACTTCAATTAAAAAAATAGTTAAATGAGCTTTAATTCAAATTCATTCGAGTCCTTGTTTTGTTTGCTTTGTTGCTTAATTGAATTCAATTATTTAATTCAATTTAAAATAAATGAATTAAATTTTATTTAATTGCTTATTTAATTCAAGTTCAAATAATGTATTAATTCAAATTTTTTTTGAGATTTTTTTAATTTAATTTGGAATTTGTTGAATTTTAAAAGCAATTTAAAACCAAAAACGCATTTTAATTCAATTTTCTTTTATTCAAGTTTGCTGCATTTGCTGCTGTAGACGCCATTCCCTGGGGATACAAGTGAAAACAGCTGCTGCTGCTGCTGTTGCTGCTGCTGCTGCAGTTTCTGCTGCAGCTTCTGCTGCAGTTTCTGCCGCAGTTTCTGCTGCAGTTTCTGCTGCAGTTTCTGCTGCTGCTTCTGCTGCAGTTTCTGCTGCTGCTTCTGCTGCAGTTTCTGCTGCTGCTTCTGCTGCAGTTGCTGGTGCAGCTGCTGCTGTTGCCAGTGCAGTTGCAGCAGCAGCAGCTGCTGCTCGTGCTGCAGGTGCTGCTGCCGGTGCTGCTATTGCCGTTGCTGCAGCAGCAGCAGATTTTTATTTTATTTATTTCTTTATTTCCATTTCCACTTTCACCCAAATTGAATTTTCTCTCCAGCCAAAGAAATTCTTTCCTGCTTTCGAAATAAACAATTAAACAAACAAACAAATAAATAAATAAATAAACAAATAAATAAATAGATAAATAAGCGAACAAATAAATAAATAGATAATAAATAATAAATAATAAATAAATAAATAACTTCAAAACCATTTAAATTCGGTTTCGTCCAGTTGCGCGCGGGCGAAATCCTGGGGTGTACATACACCTGCTTGCTTTTGCGACAAGTTATTTTTTGAATTTATTTTTATTTTCTTTTTAATTTAAAAAACTATTTTGAATTATTTTCTTTTCTTTTTAATATTTTTGTTTTTTTTTCTTTTTTCTGTCTTGCAAAAGGCTTCTCTGAGACCTTTTCTCCATTTGTCTTTTATCTTTTTACTCTTCTTTTCATTTAATTCTTTTTTATTTTAATTTTTTTCATTTAATTCTTTTTGTTTTTATTTCTTTTTCTTTTCTTTTGCTTTTCTCTCCCTTTGCTGCTTCTCTTCGCTCTCCCCTTTTTGCGGGTGTCTGTGCTGAGGGTTTAGGGTTTAGGGTTTTTTAGGGTTTCGGGTTTAGGGTTTGGCTGCAGGCTTAGGGTTTTTTAGGGTTTAGGGTTTAGGGTTTAGGGTTTGGCTGCAGGCGCATTTGCTTCTAGAGGTTCTCAAATAAGCAACACTCCCCCATTTACATTTGCTTCCCTATCCCTAAATAAAAACCCTAGACCCTAAACCCTAACCCCAAACCCTAAACCCTAAACCCCAAACCCTAAACCCTAAACCCTAAACCCTGGAAAACACAAAAATTACATGCATGTCTGGCCTCGCAGCAGGGCAGCCGGCGTTGGGTTTGGGGTGTACGTACACCTCAGGAGAGTGTGCTGCAAATAAAATGAGCAGCAGCAAATTGGCTTTTGATTTAAATTGATTTTTGATTTAAATTATTTCATTTAATTTCACTTTTGCAAAACTTTAAAAATAAATTAAATTCATTTGCGCAGCTGCAGCCAAACCCCACAGAGGCGCTGCGGTGTCTGTACACCTCAGCTGCTGTCAAACATGTCCGCCAGGCTAGGGGGCCCCACACTCCCTTTGCTGCTGTCTGCTGCTGCTGCTGCTGCTGCTGCTGCTGCTGCGTGGGCTGGCTGGGGCAGCGAGCGAGCCAGAGACGAAGCCTCCTGCAGCAGCTGCTGCAGCTCATCCGCTGCTGCTGCTGCTGCTGCTGTTGCTGCTGCTGCTGCTGCTGCAGTGCGCTCTCGTGACTCACCAGCTCGCGCC